ACCTTTCCGGTTACATCATCCTGTCGCCCCCTAGTTCAAGATTTGAAATTCAAGCCTGTTGTGTGTCCTATTGAAGACTGAAAGTCTTGACTCTTCTCTCACGTCGAAAAATCGCATTTGACAAAACGAAGTCAAATAAAAACGTCAACTTGCTCGAGCAATAATAGATACACTCAACCTACTACCGAGATCGAAAATAAATTCGATAATACATCACCAAGTGAAAAGCAATCAACCTGGTCGAGCAATAAGAAGTATCCTCGACCTGCCAGTAAGGTTGAAAAATAAATTCGACAAACTAGAATCAACAACCTGCTCGAGCAGTAATGAATATACTCGACCTTCCACCGAGGTCGAAATATAATTTCGACAAAATCAAGTTCAAATTTAAATTATCGACCTACTCAAGAAATAATGAATATAGTCGACCTTCCACCGAGGTTGAAATACAATTTCAACAAAATCAAGTTCAAATTCAAATCATCGACCTGCTCAAGCAATAATGAATATACTCGACCTTCCACTGAGGTCGAAGAACAATCTCAACAAAATCAAGCAAGAATCAACATCAACCTTCTTAAGCAATAATGAATATACTCGACCTTCCACCGAGGTCGAAATACAATTTCGACAAAATCAAGTTCAAATTCAAATCATCGACCTGCTCAAACAATAATGAATATACTCGACCTTCCATCGAGGTCGAAATACAATTTCGACAAAATCATGTTCAAATTCAAATCATCGACCTGCTCAAACAATAATGAATATACTCGACCTTCCACCGAGGCTGAAATACAATTTCGATAAAATCAAGTTCAAATTCAAATCATCGACCTGCTCAAGCAATAATGAATATACTCGACCTTCCACCGATGTCGAAATACAATTTCAACAAAATCTAGTTCAAATTCAAATCATCGTCCTGCTCAAGCAATAATGAATATACTCGACCTTCCACCGAGGTCGAAATACAATTTCGACAAAATCAAGTTCACATTCAAATCATCGACATGTTCAAGCAACAATGAATATACTCGACCTTCCACCGAGGTCGAAATACAATTTCGACAAAATCAAATTCAATCCAAATCATCGACCTGCTGAAGCAATAATGAATATACTCGACCTTCCACCGAGGTCGAAGAACA